TAATTATTACATATTCATTATACCCAATTTGGAAAAAACAGAAAAGTAAAAAGAAGAGAAGAAATTGTATACAATCTTCCCACCAAAATCTGTTTACTTATGCTATCAATTTATGATGAATATTTTAATGACCTCTAAAGTATATCACTTGATATTTTTCTATAAAAAAATGAAAATATTCATGTACCCACCACACAACCAAGAAACCAAATAACTTCAACATTACAGAAAATTCCTTCATGCGCTCTTCCAGCCAGTAAACCTCAGCTTCTCCTCTCCATCTCCCCTTGTCCTCCATGCTATTTGTTATGCTCCACAAATAAGTGAAACCATATGATAATTGACTCTCTCTGCTTGACTTATTTCACTCAGGAGAAGGGAGTTGAGGGAAATTGGAAGGGGAGGTGAACCATGAGAGACTATGAACTCTGAAAAACAATCTGAGGGTTTTGAAGGGGCAGGGGGTGGGAGGTTGGGGGAACCAGGTGGTGGGTATTAGAGAGGGCACAGATTGCATGGAGCACTGGGTATGGTGCAAAAACAATGAATACTGTTACACTGAAAAGAAATAAAAATAAATAAATTTTAAAAAAACCACCTCAGCTTCTATCAACATAGAAAATATTGCATTTTTTTGACCTGGTTTTGAACTTTTTATAAAAGGAATCATATCATGTATGCCCTCTTTTGTGTCTAGCATAATTCTCCTAACATTTCATCTGCAAGATTCATCTGTGTTTTGGCATGTGGTTGTAACACATTCTTTTTATTTACACTATAATATTCCATTTTGTGAATTTACTCTAATTTATTTATAGATAATTATGGCTTTTCTCCAGTTTTCAGTATTACAAACAATGTTTCTACTGAGTTCTTATACATAACTTTTGAACTACATATGTACTCCTTTCTGCAGATTATATGCTTAGGTGTGCAATTTCTTAGTCACCAGATTTACATGTATTTAGTTTTAGGGGATACTGCCAGTGTTCTAAAATAACTGAGCCAATTTACACTCCAGCAATTTATAAGAGTTCTATCGTCTCCATTATAAGTGAGTGTTTTTTGTTGTAATGGAGGTGTGAGGTATCCTATTGTCATCTTATGCTGCATTTCCCTGATGCAGAGAGATGTTGGATACATTTTTCATGAGTTTATTGGCCACTTGAATATTGTAATTTGTCAAACACCAGTTTCAAGATGTTACATATTTTTTAGTCGGGGTTTTGACTTTTACTTATTGATTTGTAAGAGTTCCTGATACAAATCCTTTATTAGATATACATAATTGTAAATTTCCCAGCCTGTGTCTTCTTTTTTTATTCAAAAAGGTGTCTTTGGAAAGCTGAAGTTCTTAATTCTAATGAAATCCAATTTATCAATCATTTACTTTAGTATTACTGCTTTTTTGTGTTCTCTGAGAAATGTTTATCTGTCCTAAGGATATGAAGATTTTTTTCTGTTATCTTCTAGAATCCTTCTTATTTTTATCTTTTACACAATCTATGAACCATCTAGAATTGATTATTGTATGTGAGCCAAAGTAGTGAAATAGTGCCATAATCTATCTTTTTCATCATGGATAGCCAAATAACTCTGTACTATTTGCTAGGTAATTCTAATTTCCCCACTGCAATCCAATACACATTTGTGACATCTCAGGTGACCATTTACCTGTGGGTCTATTTCTTTTTTTTTTAAGATTTTATTTATTTATTTGACAGATGGAGATCACAAATAGGCAGAGAGGCAGACAGAGGGAGAGGAAGCAGGCTCTCTGCTGAGCAGAGAGCCTGATGTGGGGCTCAATCCCAGGACCCTGGGATCATGACCTGAGCAGAAGGCAGAGGCTTTAACCCACTGAGCCACCCAGGCGCCCCCTGTGGGTCTATTTCTGGACTCTTCATTCTGCTTCATTTGTTCCTTTGCCATTGAATCAAATCCACACTTGTAATTTCTTTTATTTATAATAAAACTTAATATCTAATCTAAATCTTTCTACAACATGATTTGGCAAATGGACAGAGAAGGAAAAGTTGTACAGAGGTTTGAGTCAGCTCAGTGAGCTTCCTTTCTTTCCCAGATTTTAGCTACTCAAGTCCTGGCTGCCTTCATTGCCATCTGAACTTTTTGCTTTTTGCATTTTATTCAGATCTTTGAGATTTTTTTTTTCATCTTGATGGTTTGTATGATACTGGCTAGATCAGCATAAAGCCATGTGTGGTTATTTTTTCATCTTTAAAGCAAGTTACAAAGTAAATAAGAAACAAAGTCATCCAGCCAAAGTCTTATTACTAGTAATCGATGGAGAGTGAAACCTAATCTACGTTTCTATTATCCCAGAAATTAATGCCTGTTTTAAATTTTTCTGTATATCTCCAACTAGAAAATTATGTTAATATATACTACAGAAAATTTTGTTCTCTTGCTATATCACAGAATAAAATAAAGACAAATAAAATATCTTAACTAAAGTTATGGCTACTTACAGAGTAACACCTTTGGCAAACCATTAAACATCAATCTTTCAAAGTCTTGAGAGAAAAACACTATGCCAGATCTTTAAATAAAAACAAATAAGTGAGGGGCGCCTGGGTGGCTCAGTGGGTTAAAGCCTCTGCCTTCGGCTCAGGTCATGATCCCAGGGTTCTGGGATCGAGCCCCGCATCGGGCTCTCTGCTCGGCAGGGAGCCTGCTTCCTCCTCTCTCTCTGCCTGCCTCTCTGCTTACTTGTAATCTCTCTCTCTGTCAAATAAATAAATAAAATCTTTAATTAAAACAAAACAAAACAAAAAAAAACAAATAAGTGAAATAGTGACTGTTGATTCATCGACATGATAAAAAACTCTCATGAGATGAGGCATAGTGAAGATTTCTCATCACATCATATCAAACATATTATACCTTAAAATTATATCTTGAGAAATATTTTAAATGTTGAGATTTTCTTACAAAAAATGATAATTTGGTAGTGTAAAAAAAGCATACAACAAGGGGCTCAGAATTATACCAGCTAAAAGGTTTATTTTTCCCTAACTTTCATGAATATACTGGCATAAGTATAACTCTGTTGGGTCCTTGGAACTCATTGAGCAATTGGGGTTTCACCACACTGGTCTAGCACAAGTTCTCCAATTCCAGCAGCTTTTCAGTGTCCCATTTCTGACCTCACTCCTTTCTCCCTTACACAACTTACTACTTAGGTGATACATCATCTGTTATTCCAGGGAACTAGCCTTCCTGAGAGCTATCATGAGAAACCATATAGCTCAGCCGTTAACAGATCAATGTGTGGGTGAATCTTGACTCTGCCCCTTTCTAGATGTATGAATGTGGGTTAATTAGATGACAGTTATGAATCTCAGTTTCCTAAATGGAGCTAATGTACATAAAACAACCGGTATAGAATAAGGCTTGTAATTAACACCACAAATGGTAATTTTTCATCTTGATTTTTTCATAAAAATATTTAGACACAAATTAATAATAAGTATGGCTTCTACCAAATGAGGAGATGGACTGTTTATTAATAACTACAGTATTAGAGGTATAATTCCAAAATGTGGCCAAACTGCAGTAAAGATCATCATTTTGCTTCACTCTTCAAAAACTTTTAAGTGGCAACTGTATTGAAAGAAGAGATTTGATAACACTTGGTAACATTAACAATTTGATAAATTAATAAGATATTTGGTTTTCTATCATCTACTTATCTCAGTAGATAACAATTGAACGCTTCAATGATAGTGCTCCCCAAGTGCCAGACTCCCTAAAGATACTCATTAAAATGCAAATCTTTGGGTCCCTCCTTAGAAGTGTTAAATCAGAATCTTTGGGGAAAGAGAACTAGCCATCTTCATGGCCAAAAGCTCCCCAGGAAACTTTTTTACATATTATGGTTTGAGAACATCTGCTTTATTGTTAAGTAAGAAATAAACCTTGCAGTTTTTACTTCCTTATGCTCTTAAATCACCCCAACCAGAGATATTGTGATAAAGTATGCGTACTCAGGCATCAGTTACTGGAAAGAATCCAGGTGGGAAAAATACAAGTATAAAGTTATAATTTCAACCCTGAAGTTAGAAGAACTGGCTTGGCTATAGCACAGTGATAAATTCAGCTAGGTTGAAAATATTATTAACTTGATTACAAAAATATTATGTCAAGAAAATTAATATACCCACATAGTTCTAACAACACTGAATATTCTTAACTTCCAGTGATTTTGCCCTATGGAATAATCTAAATGCAACATAAATAATTTTAAATATAGAGCAATGTTAGTACCTGTAAGCCCCCTATCGTCATCTCTCACATCATTCTACTCTCTTCCCTTATAGTAGTTGCCATATTTTTATTACGTGTTTTACAGTTTTAACAGCTGGGTCTTTGTTTACTGATCGTCTGCAAGGTCAGACTATCTGCTATACCATAGCGGGGACCTGTGTATTTTGGTCTGGACTCAAAGCCAGCAAACTGCTAAGCAGACCACAGATAATAAATATCTGTTGAATAAATAAAATGAGTGTTTTAGACTTTGAAAATTTTTATCAGAGCTTAACCATGAAGTTGTAACTTTTCCTCTAAATACATGATTTTGTGGTATTTGTGGTATTACAAATAGGGAGATCCAGTGGCATAATGGTGAAAGCATGGATTTCATAGTCACAAGACCATGAATTTTTATTACATGCCTATTGCTTTGGCTATGGAATCCATAAAGAAAGTATTTAATTATTCTTTCAGTTTCTTCAACCATGAAGCTTTCTAAACAAATATAATATAAAGGACAACTAGATAAGTAGGACTACTTCCCAGATTCAGAAGGTAGTAAAAATATAGGTAGTGGAAAGAAGCAGAGAATTTCTGATTACAAGACCACTAACAAGTTTCCACTCCCATACTAATTATTCTTTAGTCTCCAAATGACTTTTCATGGCAATCTGCAATCCAACTAGATTATAATTTTAGAAACCTCACAGATAAGCATAAATACTCACAGAGTGTTCAAATTCTTGAGTTTTTTGAAGGCACTCCCAGGAATTTCTTGTATTCTGTTAAACCTCAAGTCTCTGGGAACATAAAAAAGAGAAATATTATAATACTTATGATTAATATTTATATGATATATTTATATAATATATTATATTATGTATTATATTACTAATATATAATATTTATGATTATTATTTCCAGAAGTCTAAAAACTAATTCTATTTTTATAACCAAATTATGGCACTGAAGGACTAACCACAAGACAGTATTAGGTACATTATGCATAATTGTTAGGTACATATGTTGTTTATAGCAGATTATGCATATCAGGTGCTAAATGCTAGTCTAAAGACACCAGAAAAGTGCAGCTAGTTACAGATCTCTTCAAAGTGTTAAAAGCAGTTACACCATTTCCATTTGTCATATTTGTATGGCACTAAAACAAATTCTGTATATGGCAACATGCCAATTGAGCATAATAAATTTGAACAATATTGATAGGTCAGATGTCACTTATCAATTCAACATAACACCATTACTTGGGTTTAGGCAAAATTATTATTAATTAGTTAATTTTTCTTAATAGTCCAGGAACATAACAGCCTTCTAAGGAAATATTAAAATACATTAAAAAAAAAATAGTGTAAGAGAGGCAGCCAACATTCTCTTTCATCAATTAATACATTACTTTATTCAGCATGTAAATTACTGAATGCCAACTACATTGCCACATTAAATAATAGGAACACAAAGATGAACAATATAAATGGTCCTTGCTACTGAGCAGGCACAGTTGAGTTGAAGATTACAAACAAATAATTACAGCACTAGTATATAAAGTATTAAAGTATATAAAGTATTAGTGGTACAATAGAGCAACAAACAAAATGTTCTGCACAGATAGCCAACCTAGGTATTGGTCTGCCTAGACCCTCTCTCAGTGAGAGAAGAACCCACTCCACTGCCTATAATTTTGGTGGAAATGTCAGTCATGTGCCCTTCAAGAGGGTGACTAAGACCAGACAACTGTCTCCTTGGACACACTCCTTGCATATGACTCAAGCAAAGCAAATTGGGGGCATTCATGAGCTGCTGAATAAAACAGTTATGCTCTGTGTTTGGGATCAGAGATTATGAAAAATGAGTTATCTATAAACATAAGTGTCCAGACTAGAAAATAAAGTCAACTAGAGACAAAAAGGCAAAAATATGGGAGAAGAAAACAAAGCCCTGCATCCACCTATGCCTGAGACCAAACTTACCTCCGACTTTTTAGTTATCTAGGCAATAAACTGTTATTTTGATAACTTTATTTGAGCTGAGTTTATATCACTAATGTAGGGATCACAGGAAAAAGATGAAAAAATTGTTCGGAAATATGAGACCCAAGGGCAATGATACTGGGAAAACTTTACAGAGCATTAGCGTGTCAGGAAACCAACAAACACAAAAGCAAAAACAAAAAACAAAATATGTACTTCCCCTCAACTAATTTCTCAAAATAAAATTTTTCACCATCATAAAAAGTATTACTATTTTAAAATACTCAACTCAAAAATCTTTATAAGATTACCTTTAAATTCTATCAGTTTATGTTTCTCTTGAGTTGACTTGGAAGGATATTGCAATTTTATAGGAGCTTTTTCAATTAAAATAATTCAATTAAATTCTGTCACCAAGAAAGAAAAAAGATGCACGACATTTTTTTAAAAGGTATTCAATCAAAATAACTCATTGTGACTATACGTCTTTGTAAGACGGAATGCACTGCTTAAACATCATACATTATTTGGTCTGTACTATATTTTTAAAAGAAACTTTATAAATTATATGAAATTCTCACTATAAACCTACAAGGTATAAAAGAAACTTTATAAATTATGTGAAATTCTCACTATAAACCTACAGGAGATAAAGTTATATAAATCCAAATACTATAGGCCCTTAGTTTCCCTTCAACACAGAAGCTTCAAATTACAGAAAGGACTGTCCTCTCACATCAAACCATAAATCCTAATAGTCCTCCCAAACTGAAGCTTCCAACAATACAAGAAGGGAGTAAATATAAAAAGATAAATCACTTTCTTTTTTTAAGGCTTTGAAATTTTTTAAAAAATTCAGAAAAGTACAAATAAGAAAAGAGTACTCTTTATTATCCATATCCAGAATTAACAACTGCTTTCACTTGATATAGTTACTTCTATTCACAGTTCCACACATTTTTATTTTGATTACACAAATCACATGTAAAAATATATTACAGGTGAAGTAAAAATCTCTTTTAACCACTACCTTAATTTTAGCTATGTCTCCTTCTCAAATATGCCTCTCTCCTGAGTGTGATGTTTCTCTTTAGACACACAAATGTACATAGGTATATGAATAAATGTAAGTAAAAAGTAAAATGTATACATATAAAAATATGAAAATAAACATAATAGAGGTAAATATAGAATATTTCATGTTTTTAAATTTACAGAAATGGAATTAAACTTTCTGTGGTTTTTAAAACTTCTCTTTTTCCCCCTCTACTGCATCTCTTCTAGGTCATTCTGTGACACATAAAGATCTAGATATTTATCTTCAACTGTTCTATAATATTTCACTATGCAGACACAGTTCTTTTATATATCCCCTTACTGACAGCTGTTTTGACTGTTATCAATTTTTTGCAACATTTACAAATAATATTTCAATAAACATGCATACATGTCTCCTTGTGCACCTGAAGAAATATTTCTCTGGAACATATTTAGAATTAGGATTGCTAGATCATAGTGTATGCACAGCTTCAGTTCTACAAAATGATGCCAACTCTGAATTCATTTTCAATTAAATAATACAGCAGTAATACATAATATATGTAATTAAAAATAATGCAAAAAGATGCTTGAACTAATCACCACATTTTAAATTTAAACTTTTCACTAATTGATTTAAGAGTAAAGGTGCTAGTTAGTATGACCAAAATTAGCAAGACAGGAAACAACGTGTGTTGGAGAGGATGTGGAGAAAGGGGAACCCTGTTACACTGTTGGTGACAATGCAAGTTGGTGCAGCCACTTTGGAGAACAGTGTGGAGATTCCTTAAGAAATTAAAAATAGAGTTTCCCTATGACCCTGCAATTGCACTACTGGGTATTTACCCCAAAGATACAGATGTAGTGAAAAGAAGGGCCATCTGTACCCCAATGTTCATAGCAGCAATGGCCATGGTCGTCAAGCTGTGGAAAGAACCAAGATGCCCTTCAATGGACGAATGAATAAGGAAGATGTGGTCCATATACAGTATGAAGTATTATGCCTCCATCAGAAAGGATGAATACCCAACTTTTGTAGCAACATGGACGGGACTGGAAGAGATTATGCTAAGTGAAATAAGTCAAGCAGAGAGAGTCAATTATAATATGGTTTCAATTATTTGTGGAGCATAACAAATAACACAGAGGACATGGGGAGATGGAGAGTAGAAGGGAGTTGAGGGAAATTGGAAGGGGAGGTGAACCATGAGAGACTATGGACTCTGAAAAACAATCTAAGGGTTTTGAAGGGGCAGGGTGGTGGGAGGTTGGGGGAGCCAGGTGGTGGATATTAAGGAGGGCACGTATTGCATGGAGCACTGGGTATGGTGCAAAAACAATGAATTCTGTTACGCTGAAAAGAAATTAAAAAAAAAAAAAGAGTAAAGGTGCTAAGTGTGTTGGTTATCAAAATTCCCTTTGTCTTCACTAACAAGCAAGACTAAGGTTTCCTGCCACAGAGTAGTGTGGCAAGTTGTCCACTGTCCCAAGGGTTATTTAGGGGGCAGTGAGATACATGACGCACAGTTCTCACTGCTCAGGTAGCCACAGAGAAGCAGCTTTCCAGAAAAGCAAAGCACACTTAAAGAAACCCAAAGATTATTTCCCCCTTGACTTAAAACTCTTATAAGACATATTTAGATGCACCAAAGTTAGCATGTTAACATTCATGTTCTTTGTCAGTATATTCTACCACATAAACTTGTGTAGTTTGGTAGATTATAAACTAAAACTCTAAGGAAAGACTTCCCTTCCTAGTTTTGTTTTTGTTTTTTCATTTTTTTTTAAGATTTTTTATTTATTTATTTGACAGACAGAGGCCACAAGTAGGCAGAGAGTCAGGCAGAGAGAGAGAGAGAGAGAGAGAAGTAGGCTCCCTGCTGAGCAGAGAGCCCGACGTGGGGCCCGATCCCAGGACCCTGGGATCATGACCTGAGCCAAAGGCAGAGGCTTTAACCCACTGAGCCACCCAGACGCCCCTTCCCTTCCTAGTTTTAATTGCTGCATTTTAGAATTGCATATGGGGCATTACACGATACATTGCTGAAAGTAGTATTTACCATACCTTTTCATGAAATTACACTAAAAGATCATCTGAATTCAAATTACCACCAAATTTGGATCATACTACCTTCTGTGTAAATAAGTTTATCCAAAAATAATTATTTATTTTCCCATATTGCCTCTATTACATTCAAGATGGATCACTAAAATTTCACCCACACAAAATTTGTCATATATATAAAACTTCACATAGCATTATTTGTAGCATTACTTTTTCATCCTTTGCATAGAGTTAAAATTGAATTTTTATATATCCTGCACAATTCATCCCTTTATGATATATGTAATATTGATAAAATAATATTCATAAAAATAATTATTATTTAGCACAATTTTCATCCCATTCACTTTTCACTGGAATTCAATTTGGAAGCAACTTTAGGAAAGGCACCAAGATGAAAACTGAGCTCATGGTGCTTACTGGCAGTGGTCAACATGAGTTTGTCTGTTTATCTGTCTGTCTGGCCTGCCTGCCTCCAGCTCAAGTTGTTAAAGCTGAAGAAGAAATGTTTAATGATTTTTATGGTGAGAAATTTGGAATTGATGTTTTTAACCAATAAGAGATGGGTTTTAGTTCATATTTAATCCAAAAGATTCTCCTTCCAAAATGAGTTTAAATGATTCCCCCATTGTACACAGAGGGCAGAGAACAAGCATGGACAGACAGCAAGGTGAACTAGGCTTAAACAAATTAGCATAGCTCAAGATCATGT